GTTATTTCACTATTCCAGTCGTCATATTTGATATCTTCTCTCACAGGTGGACCCCACTTTTCTCCTAACGGTCAAAAAATCAATTTTTTAGTGAAAAAATCACTCCCAAACAGGCTCTATATATTTCAATTTAACCAGTGTGTTTCTTAAGTCACACTGGATATAATTTCATTTTGGTATTAATCGCATAAATGCTGGCAAAGCATTAAATAAGATTAAATCAATCATTTTTCGGTTTACTACAATGTGCCAAACATGCCCTTAAGAGCAAATTTTGAGTTGCGAGTGATAATTATAATTAGTAGAAAAATGTTAGAGTTTGCATTGATGATAATCACATGATCAACTTAAACAAAAATGAGAACAAAATCAGAAACACACATTGAAATATAGTATAGAGTTTGACCTAGTGCATTGAAAAACAAGTTGCAAACATGAAAGATAAATTTTCAAGGTTGCTTGAAGACATTGAAGCAACACATTTTTGACATTCAGATTGTCTTTTTGAGCTTACTAGGGTAGAAAGAATTAGGTTCAATATGTGGATGAAAGTTTCACTAAATCTGAATTTGACCTTTGGCTGGATCCTTTGACGACTAAGCGAGTTCTTCTTCTTTTTATTTGATGCTATAATTTCATTTTTAGCTCATGATGTTGGTGTTGAGGGAAGAGGAAAACATGTCCACGTGTGGTTGCATTGATCTTGCACTTTGCTTGTCAAAATCCCCCATCGACTCTTGTCGTTGGGTCATGTGTTTTGCTTGCAATTCAATTTACTAATGGACTCGTGTCACCTCTTTCCTTTGTTGTACCTCTTACATATTAGAGTGTGTTTGATTGACATGAAAAATATCACATAGAAAAGAAAATATTTTCCATCTTTTGTGGAAAAAAACCACCTCCACACCCAAGGAAAATGTTTTCCTTAAAAACAAGGAAAATTAGGTATATTTTTAAAAGTTGGAAAATGTTTTTAATGGAAAAAAATAGCAATCAAACACTCCAAGTAAGAATTTGGGTAGAAAACTGATATTTTCTATGGAAAAGAAATGTAATCAAACACACCCTTAAAATCATAAGATATTTGTCGGGACTTTGGATGCACTGCCAGGAACGTGATTGTAAATTGATACCATTAATACAGGGAAGAGAAATAATTGTGTATATAATAAGTGACCAACAAATAGGTGATTCACGAATCAAATTTCGAAGAAAATTTTCATTTCTTGTTGTACAATCAAAATCAACCAAGAAACAACCGAGTTCCATAATGGAGATTAAAAAAATTATAATTAATGGTACTTTTCATTTTCCAATCTCCAACTTGATCTTTGTTAGTAGAGACTTTTGAACTTTTCCTCATTTGTTATCATAATAAGTCAAGAGAAAATGGAAAATCTCATGTCAACCAAATTATTATTTATAATTAAAAACCAACTTATTTACATTAAAAAAGTTGATTGTTACATCTTAAATGTAGAATATTCGGATGTTAAATACAAATAGTACTACAACTTTTAGACTTTTAAAGTAGGTAGTTTGTGAGTTTTAATAGACTTAATACCCATTACTTGAATGTACGATTGTGAGATTATTCGTAAAAAAATGTATTTCGAGAACAAAAATACAAGATGAATGTTTATCACACAAATACTTACTATCAAAAAAAGGAAACAACTTATAAGTTAGCTAACCTATTTGATGAAGCAAAGCAATAAAAAGAATGTTATAGATTAGTGCCCAACTCCGACAAAAGTATAAGAAATAGAGATCTAAAGTGTTGGAAACCAGACGAGAATGGAAAGAGCATTCAGCATAAAGATCTTACGCATGTATATTATAGGATTGGCTTTAATCATCTAATCTAAAAATGAAACAAATGTCCAATAAATGGCATTCGACCACCCATGCCCTTATGAGCAACATTAAATCACCACAACTTCAAAATTCGGGCACAGGCTGATCCTCATATGATTGTGGTAGCAAAAATCCAGTCTATATTTTCATTAAGAATCGTCCCTTCATTCTTCGCAATCCACCATTAACCTTTTAAAATGGCAATGGACTTATTCTTCAAAGCCAAGATCCTCTTCACTTTCAGTTCAAATTCCCCTTCACTACCATTCCAACCAGTGAATCGGCCATCCCGTCACTCGGATTCTTAAAGTCATTCAAACTTAGAGACTTTCTATTGTCAATCTTCAGCTCGATTCCTATTTTCAAATATCCCAGCAATGGGCTTGGATAAGGTAGAATCAGATCGATCTTGTTCTTGATATGCAACTCATTCAGCATTTGCAACTAAATGCAATATTCAACACAAGTAAGCTTAAGTACAACTGTTTAATTCACACGTCACTAAAAGTTGTTCCACCGATAACTAATTCATATTTGGCCTGCTACTTTTGACCAACACCTCATGAGCTTCTTCGTACCTTGAAAAACAATTATAAAATTAGTGTCACCAATCATCTTGTTGCTAATAGAGGATCCCAAAGAAGCATAAAGTTCATTTTAGCCTGCAAACTTTGCAGCTAATAGAGGACCGAAAAGAAGCATAAATTATTTTAGTGACTGCCCTTCCAGCTTTGCTAGTTTTCAGTCTAGAAGAACTCTCTAGGTACGTGCGCAGGGGAAGAAAACACTTTCAATAGATATAATTCTACATCGAATAAAGATGAAAATATAAACCAATTTATAAGATCTTGGGTTATTCCTCTTAACAAAATTGACCTTTTAAGATGGAATTTCAAGTCTTAACATGGTATCAAAACTTATTAAACTCCAATGAGTGATTCGACCCGATTACGACTCAATAAATGAGCATACGGAATTTCAAAATTGGTCTGCTCAAACGAACCACATTTTTCGGGGATATGTTAAGGGATAAAATCTTATATCGAATAAAGATGAAAATATAGACCAACTTATGAGACTTTGGGTATTTTTCTTAATAAAGTTGACATTTTATTATGGAACCCCAAGCCTTAATATAGTATCAGAGCTGAGTTAATTGTTTGACGTCCAAAGAAGGCCCCCAAATGAGCCGTTTCAATCCGTTCCCTGGCCGTTACGCGACGACCCACTCTCGTCGCGGGAGCAGCTCGAGCAGTCCACCAACAAGCGATGGTTCGGGATTGGGACCCGTGCCTAGTCCTTAGAGCCAATCATTTTCTTGAAGCTACGATTCATTTTGCTGACTTCAGTTACCTACATCGTTCCAATGACGAGAGGCTGTTCACCTTAAAGACTTGATGCCGTCATAAGTACAACCGAGCGGGGATGGTACTCGATCCTCTGGATTTTTAAGGGCCATCGAGAGGCACAGATTTCAAGATCGGTTTGCTCAGAGAGCCACATATTTGTGGGGGCATATTAAGGAATATAATCTCACATCAAATAAAGATGAAAATATAGACCAATTTATAAGGTCTTAGACTAATCCTCTAAACAAAATCGACCTTTAAAAATGAAATCCCAAATCTTAACAAACACGACCACCACTTATGCATTTCTTTGTATTAAAGGATTATCTTTCATCTCAAAATCATGAAGTTCAAACAAGTACATTACTAAAACTTTGTTATTATTGGAGAAACCTACTACTTTTGTCAAATAAAATTGCAAGCACAAAACGTTCTTTAAAGAAAGGGGATTCAAACAAGTAAATTCTAAGAGTAAGCTTTATTACCTTTAAGGCCAAACGATAGATAAATAATTATCTGAACTCTAAGATAGGGGTAGATGCAAGTGGGGATCGGGCCAACCGACCACCAAACCAATAATTTGGGTTGGGAATATCAGATCAAATGGTTCAAAAAATCGACCAAACCGACCTGAGTTGGTTTTACTTGGGTCGAGTTGTCAATTCATTTTTTTACAAGAAGAGCCTAAAACCAAAATTTTCAAGTTGGATAATCTTAACCCGAAAATCAACAAGTGCCTATGAAAGCGACCTGAATTGACTCGTGTCTGGTCGATTTCATATACCGAATATTAATGAAAGGGTCTCGATTTCGTGAAGTGTTGAGCGCTACATATAAAGAGATTAAATGTGATGCTTTGACGAAGCACGCAAAGTAAAATACGGGGGCTCTCATCTTCATTTAGTTTACTCATTTAACATGTTATATCTTATTCGGAAGGGGGATGTTGTTTGTGTAATTTTGTTTTGCATGGAAACAATGTAGCCTACAATTTTATGAGTAGTAAAAAGTAAGTTGTTGTTCTTTTCGTGTTTCAATTTTTAATTTTGAGTTTTGAACTTATTTTGAGTTTTATGTTTTGAGTGTCAATTTTGAAATTACTAAAAACTCATTCTTTTTGTTATCTTTGAATATATATATATTTAATATTGATTATAAGAATTGATTTTTTGACCATTAGAGAAAAAAGTAGTGTCATGTGTGAGTGAAGAAGTCAAAAATGATGGTTGAAATAGTGAAATAATGATCAAAAAATCAAATTTTTGGAAGGTGAAAAAGCACTACCAAATGGCGGCATAATTCTTTTACTTGTAAGAAAATGAAAAGTAGTTGCCAGTGTGGTTAAGACGTTGAATTCCATACTGGTGACTCGGGTTCGAATCTCAGCTACTTACCAATTTATTTGAAAATTTTTGTACTGTGCATGTAGAAAGAAAAATCCTTTGTACTGAATTGTGGTGAAACTAAATCGAACTAGTGACCTTTAGAAAATTCTTGACTCAATCAACTAAGCAATCTGCTATTGGTAAAGTGACATTTTTTTTTTGCGTTTTTGACGTTTTGGCTTGGTATCACTGAAAATAGTTAAAATATTTTTTTTGGCATTTTCCGTTTTCTTTGAAAATTTTAAACACGTTTTTGAAAAACGTGTTTTCAGTATTTTCTGAAAATTAAAAATTGGAAATGGCCCCGAAAACACTAAGAAAGAACAGGCCCTAACTTTTCAAAAATCCCATTTTCTCCCATCAACTATCATTAAAAAAAAAAAAAATAAAAAAAAATAAAATTGATTTTAGCAATATTTTACCTGTAAAACCCTTAAACCTTGTTTCTCTCTGCATCCCTATTTCCGAGCTTCACACACAACAATGGCAGCTTTCAAGCACCTCTTCTCTCAAACCCAACGCCACTACTTCTCCAAAACGCCGCCACAGCACAACCTCTCTTCCCTCATTCTCCGCCGCCTCTTCTCCGCCGAACCCGACCCAGATGCCAATCCCAACTTCCGTAAACCCCTCCCCATCCAACCCGTTTCCTACCCAACTAGAAATCAACCCCCTCAATCCCAAGAAACCCAGTCCCAGTCCCAATCCCAACCCGAATCTCCACCTGAACAAATCTCACCTCAAGCTGACCCGGGTACCCGGACGTGGACCCGGGATGAAATGCGGTACATCAAGGATGCCCCGGTGATTTCCCCGGTTTCTTATCCGTCCAGGGTTGCCCCGCTTCCTGAGGACCGTGTGAAAGCAGAGGAGGAGGGTAGTAAAAATGAGAGTGACGAACTGGAGACGGAGAGGAGGAGGATTGATGACGAGAGGTGGAATGCAATGATGACGAGGAGAAGGGTATTGGGCGAGGAACAGGAGGACGATAATGTTGCGTTCCCGACCCTGATTAAGGTGGAGAATGATGATAGTAAAAGTAAGAAGAAACGAAAGGTGATTTATGATCTAAAGGAGGCTATTCGCGCCGTTAAGGTTCGTTTTTGTGCTCTTTTTATTGTTTAGTTTGATAAAACTCCCGAAGTTAGGATTGAATTCATATTTTTGGTATTTGAGTTGTTATTGATCATGAAATAGTATCGTGAGATCAAGTTCTTGTGCACTGTATCAGTTAAAAATGGGAATGTAGGATGCCAATGATAGATTAAGTTAGTTCTGGTGATCCAATATATGGCACTTTATAGATGATTTTGCTTTCACAATTCTCCACTCCAGTCCCACAACCTGAAATGATAAGAACTTTTCCACATGGTGACTGTCTTTTTCTTTCTTATCGTTTTAGTATTCGTACAGGGTGATAACAAGAGAAATTTTGACGAAACTTTGGAAGCACATGTAAAAATGACCCCTGAATTACGTCGAACTGATCTGGTACGTGCTGCTTTTCATTTCCTTATCTAGAGGCTAGTTTCAGATGCACATTCAAGATTATATTTCTAAATATTGACAAGAGATCACGAGGGTAGGTTGAATTATTATATGTGGAAACCATTATGGTGACTTGATTTTATTTTGTTTCTTTATCTCCGTCCTGTTGTCTCTACAATTTTGAGTGCTGCCCCCTTCTAACCCTATTTCCAAAAAGTAGTTTAATCTCCCTGGAGAAATCAAAAGAAAGTTGGGTGAATTTTGTATTCGGTGTCAAGGAGGAATTAACACAGAATTTAAGGTGAAAGTGGAAAAGAGGTTTTTGATTTAACTTATCACTTTCACCCCGTAAACTACTGCTGGAGAATTCTTGTCAGTCCATCAGAAGAAGGGTAGTTTGGAAAGTAAATAGCCATTTTGAAAATGAAGCATCATATTTGTAGATGTCCCTTTCTTCTCTAGTTACTCTTATTGGGAAGTCACTTTGCACGTACAATGTCTTGTTCGATGAAAATTGGTAGGACAAAATATGGACTGAAGAGTAAGTCAAAGATGGTTAAAAGTAAGTTTCTATGAACCAAGTTGGTCAGAGGGAGTAAAGAAATTCTCTCCGTTAGAAACAAAAAATGAAAAAACTTGCAGTGAACCAGAGGATGACCTGGGGAACAATTGTCTAAAAGCTAATTCTCGAAAGTGAAAATGCTTTTTGATGGTTTGATTTAGTATGGATATATTTTCTTAAATCTAGTTTCACTTGTCTACTTCATTTTGCAGTCTTATCCTACTATATAATCTACTTGTGAGTTATTATAGGCAGGATTTAAGGGCGTTGGGTTCATTTGTTTTTTTAATTTGAATATGCCCTACCGTATTGGTCCCACCCTGACCAGAAAATCCTAGTCATAATTGATCTCAGTCATCATATGTTATGAGGAGGAGCAATGGCCACTTGCAGATGAGCTGTGTTAGAGGACAAATCATTGGAAATTATTTGGTTTGGCTGTTATCAAAAGTGATTTAAATTGGTGCTACTTGTCAGTGTAAAATAATGCTAAAGATGACTGCTGAAGATACAACATATGACTTAGTTGTCCAGGATTTTTGGTCCATTAATATATGGACTGAAGACAGGATCTGATTTCTGGTACTCGCCTCAGTAGAACCCTCACAGGCATATTCATATTGCTCTTTAAGAGCTCGTGATGCGAGACAAAGAAACAAGCTTCTTTTGTTAGTGACTTTGTTTACTCTCACAATAAAAACCCATCTTTATTTCACCATATTTTATTCCTTGATTTTGATGACTTCCTTTTTTGCCTAAATTAAATAAATTTGATACTTCCGTGAAGTGTTGTTGTAATGGGAAACCAGTTTTTGCTAAAGGATTTTAACCTATTAGGCCTTTAAAAGGATTTATCTTTTTCTTCTTTTCCGCTTGTTGAAATGCAGAAACTCAGTGGTTTTGTTCGTCTCCCGCATGGGTTTGGAAAGGTACAAGTGGTTCTTTACGGGTTCAGCTATGATCTTATTGTTCTAGTTCATTTATCTCATAAATGGAATCCTTTGCCAGACATATCGGGTGGCTGTCTTTGCTGAAGGAGCTGCTGCAGATGAGGCCCGCGATGCTGGAGCTGATATTGTTGGCGGCCCAGAGCTCGTGGAGAGTCTACGAAGTGGTGATATATTACTCTCTTTATTAAACTGTGTTGATAAGTGTATTTATCAAAAAAAAAGAAAAAAAAAAAAAAGAAACTCTGTGTTAATAAGTGGCCTCTTAAGCAAACTATATTTCCGTCGCTCCATTTTATAACCCTTTACCAAAATAAGTAAATGAACAAACAAATAGGTAAAAATGAAATACACTCAAGTTATCATTTTTGTTTCAGACTTTCAGTCAACTTTCACCAATTAGTCTCTTGTAAAAAATGTTATTTAGCCATCTAATTTTATTTTAGGGTCTGTTTGAGCCATATTATTTCAAAAAAATATATTCTTAAACAGTGATTTGATATAATTTCATCCACACATTTTTCAATAAAATAATATTACACGCAGATCAAAAAAATTTTCTTATTTTTTAATCACACATTTCACATCAATACACTATTCAATAATGCATTATTACCAAAATAATGTGGCTCAAACACCCCCTTATTTTATTTTTATTTTTATTTTTTGATAAGTAATCAAGTGATTTTATTAATAAATGGATAATACATGGGAAGTATATTATCAATTTAAATAAGAAAGAAACGACATAAATTTTGGCAGTCTTTCAATGTGATTAGTGGCCGCAGCATTAAATGAAGTATACAAAGTTATATAAAACAATTCTTTAATTTGCTCTGTTGTTCTTGGTTGGTCTTCGAAACAGCGACTATTCCTTTCTCTCCATAAATATCATACAAAGCATCCCGGAATAAAATTTCACGCAAGCCCACTATCCTTATCTAGAAATTTTCTCCTCCATGCCCGCAATACGTCTTCCATGCGCCTAGGCAACACCCAATCCAAATGTTGGGAAGCTAGAATAGCGTTCCACAACCACTGAACACTGTCACAAAGGAGGAACAAATGGTCAATCGTTTCCCCATCTCTCTTGCACATATAACACCATTCGGTAATATAAAAATATTTTCTTCGAAGATTATCCACCGTTACCGCTTGTCCCTTCACAATCGTCCATAACAAGAAAGCGAACCGTGGAGGCAGTTTACATTGCCACACCATCTTTCCGGGAAATAAATTCTCCTCCGGTCCTAATATGGATTTAAAATAAGTGCGAACTGAAAAAATACCATCCCGTGCGAACTTCCACTTGCTTCGATCACCCTCTCCTTCCTGAATATGCGCCTCGTGCAAGGAGGTTAAAAACAGTACATAATCATCTAATTCCCAATCCTGCAAACCCCTCTTAAAGGCAATATTCCAGCTGTAACTTCTATTATGTATTACTAGTACATTATTCACTATAGCGGAAGGCTCCAAAGCAATGCGATGCAAAGAAGGAAACGTGCCTCTAGCGGATGATCTCCACGCCAACATTCATCCTAAAATATGATACTATTGACATAAGTCGATTTTTCTCGAAAGTCATTCCATCCTTGTCGGATATACTTGTACAAAATCAATCCATAAGATTCACGACCCTCGATCGAGCACCAATCCCCCTCCATTGAACCATACTTCGCTCCTATGATTTGTCTTAAAAAACTCTCTCTCTCCATTCCAAATTGTCACAATCACTTGCCCAATAAAGTCTTATTTAATAGAACAAGGCTCCTTAATCCAAGGCCCCCCGTCCTTACATAAGAACAAATCACACCCCAGTTAACCAAATGAAATTTCCTCTCTTCCCCTATCCCTGCCCAAAGGAACTCCCTTTGAATCCTCTCTAATCTGTTTGCCACTGTAACAGGGATAGGAAATAGGATTAAGAAATAAGTTGGGAGATTAGACAAAGTAGATTTAATGAGAGTAAAGCGGCTTCCTTTCGAAAGATACATACGCTTTTACCTCGCTAACCTCTTCTCCACCCTTTCGACAATTCCATTCCAAATATGTTTATTTTTAAACCTTTCCCCTAAAGTGAGCCCAAGGTATGACATGGGCAACTGCGTAAACCTACAACTCAATATATTGGCCGACTCATCCATGTTAGCAACCTCTCCCACTGTAATGGCATCCAATTTCCTTAAATTAATCTTCAATCCCAACAACGCTTCAAAGTATAGAAGTAGCCGATGAAAGTTCCTGAATTACTCATTATCTGCATCGCAAAGGATCAGTGTATCATCTGCAAATAGCAAATGGGAAACCAGTAAGTGTCCAACCATAAAGCCCAAGGAGGTTAAAAACAGTACATAATCATCTAATTCCCAATCCTGCAAACCCCTCTTAAAGGCAATATTCCAGCTGTAACTTCTATTATGTATTACTAGTACATTATTCACTATAGCGGAAGGCTCCAAAGCAATGCGATGCAAAGAAGGAAACGTGCCTCTAGCGGATGATCTCCACGCCAACATTCATCCTAAAATATGATACTATTGACATAAGTCGATTTTTCTCGAAAGTCATTCCATCCTTGTCGGATATACTTGTACAAAATCAATCCATAAGATTCACGACCCTCGATCGAGCACCAATCCCCCTCCATTGAACCATACTTCGCTCCTATGATTTGTCTCAAAAAACTCTCTCTCTCCATTCCAAATTGTCACAACCACTTGCCCAATAAAGTCTTATTTAATAGAACAAGGCTCCTTAATCCAAGGCCCCCCGTCCTTACATAAGAACAAATCACACCCCAGTTAACCAAATGAAATTTCCTCTCTTCCCCTATCCCTGCCCAAAGGAACTCCCTTTGAATCCTCTCTAATCTGTTTGCCACTGTAACAGGGATAGGAAATAGGATTAAGAAATAAGTTGGGAGATTAGACAAAGTAGATTTAATGAGAGTAAAGCGGCTTCCTTTCGAAAGATACATACGCTTTTACCTCGCTAACCTCTTCTCCACCCTTTCGACAATTCCATTCCAAATATGTTTATTTTTAAACCTTTCCCCTAAAGTGAGCCCAAGGTATGACATGGGCAACTGCGTAAACCTACAACTCAATATATTGGCCGACTCATCCATGTTAGCAACCTCTCCCACTGTAATGGCATCCAATTTCCTTAAATTAATCTTCAATCCCAACAACGCTTCAAAGTATAGAAGTAGCCGATGAAAGTTCCTGAATTACTCATTATCTGCATCGCAAAGGATCAGTGTATCATCTGCAAATAGCAAATGGGAAACCAGTAAGTGTCCAACCATAAAGCCCCTTATCAATCCTTCAACAGCTTTCTCAAGCATCCTACTAATTGCCTCCATAACAATCACAAACAGCAACGGAGACAAGGGATCCCCTTACCTCAAACCTCTACTGCTTCGAAAATAACCCTCCGAGTTTCCGTTGACTAAAACTGAGAATGAAACGGTAGAGATACAAAATTGAATCCACTTACACCATCTTTCCCCAAAGCCACATCGCCCGAGCATGTACAAAAGGAACCCCCAGTTCACGTGATCATAAGCCTTCTAAATATTGAGTTTACGTAACATCCTTGGTACCCCTAAACGCAATCTAGAGTCAACGCATTCATTCGTTTTAAGCACATAATCCAAAATCTGTCTTCTTTACACAAAAGTATTCTGACTTTTAGTCACCACTTTCCCCAGCACCTCCTTCAATATATTCGTCAGGGTCTTCGTAATCTTGTACACCCCCCACTAAGTTAATAGGGCGAAAATCCTTAATGTTAACTGCTCCCGATTTCTTTGGAATGAGCACAATAAATGTAGTATTAGAACTTCTCAGGAACTTGCCGTACTCAAAAAATAAGTAAGAACTTCTCTAATGTCCGGTCCAACCACTTCCCAACAAGCTTTATAAAATGCGAACGAGAAGCCATCTAATCCTGGTGCCTTATCATCATTCATATTGAAAACCACATCTTTGATTTCATCTTCTGCAAATGGTCTCTCTAACCAACTAGCATCCACCTTCATAATAGTAGAAAAGTCCAATTCATCCACCTTTGGTCTCCAATCAAACTGTTCCTGATAGAGATTTTGATAGCAACTCACCATCTGATTTCCAATATCCTGTGAATCCTCATATGTAATCCCATCAATCTCCAATAGGGTGATAGAGTTGTTGCGCTTGTTAGAATTAGCGACTCTAGAAAAATTTGGCGCATTTGTCCCCCTCTTTCAACCATGTAACTCTAGAGATTTCTGGCGCCAGGCAATCTCCTCCATCTTCACCAGTCTCTCCAACTCTTCCTTTAACAGTCCACGTCTCTCCGTCTCCCCTCCATCCAATCCTCGCGCCTATCCAGTTCTTCTATTTTTAGAAGGCATTGATTTTTACGCCAATTAACATCACCCACCACCTCCTCATTCTACCTCTTTAGATCCCTCTTCAAAACTTTTAATTTCTGATCCAACGCATAATTAGGAGACCCCCCGAATTCATAAGATGCCCACCGATCACGTACTTGTTCCCTGAAGTCATCTACTTTAAGCCACACTTTCTTAAATCTAAAAGGCCTTCTTTCACTACACCTCACATTTCCTGATAACAAAATAGGGAAATAATCAGAATACACCCTTCCCAATCTCCTCTGAGTAACCTTTGGATATTTGGCCTCCCACTCTCCACTAATCATAAAGCGACCTATTTGAGATAACACATGTTGATAAAGATTAGATGACCAAGTGAAGTCTCCTCCAATCAAAGGTATGTCTATCAGCATATTTTCCCTAATAAAATATGAGAAATCCTCCATTGCCTCTGTTAATCTACCGCAGCTAGACCTCTCAGTAGGAAACTGAACCACATTAAAATCACCCCCAATGCACGTTGGAATGTTCTACCAAGCCATCATCCCAGTCAACTCATCCCACAATCCACGTCTACTCTTATCAGCATTAGGCCCGTAGACTCCTATAAACATCCAACGGATTCCGTCTCCAGTATTTCTGAATGAAAGCGATAAGGAGAATTGCCCTTCACCGACCTCCTCCATTTCAAGAACTCTGGTGTCTCACATGACTAACACACCTATTGAAGCCCCCGACAACCCCATATATTGATACCCTACATGCTGTCCCCCTTAAACTGCTAACAACCGCCCTCGAGATGAACTCTAACTTCATTTCTTGTAAGCAAACAAGGTCCACCCTCTACCCCTTTAACAAATTTCGGAAAACTAACATTTTCCCACTTCATTAAGCCCCTTCATGTTCCAACTAATTATTTTTGGGATCATCTGGACGCTCTGTCATCCCTCCCAAGCAATTCTTTCTTTGATTCAACACCTTTAGCATCATAATTTACTGACCATTCGAGCTGCTTAAGTTCACGATTTCCCTTTCTTCTTAATTTATCCCATTGTATATTCATCCCCTGTCCTCTATTGCCCTCCAGTTCCTCGAATAATTGCAGAAGTCTATTTTCATATCCATCGCATGACACACCAACCAACTTACTTAAATTCTGAATTTTTTGAAGGACCCAATTCGAAGGTGGGGGTTCAACTTCAATCGCATTCGCTTTCGTTGTTGTGTGCCTGACGATACTCCAAATGATCACATGGATACCCCTCTACTTCCTCTATCTGCTCGATATCCCTATCCGTTCCTTTTTGCTTAGCGCCATCTGCACACAACACCGGAGCTTTGTCGGTCTCTAATTTCTTTTCTTTTAGGGGCTTAGAATGCCTTCTGTTATATATGTTCCCTACGATGATTCTCGAACATATCGCCTTGTGCTCTTTCAATACTGTAGAGGCTAATCCCTATGCCAAAACTTGTCCCATCCCTTGCTCAACTGATAATGGTCCATCAGCCGGCGACGTCGTGTCCATCATTCCTAGTGTCTTCGACTCCAAATTCACCATCTTTGGCTCCCCTCCGTTAGACCAAGGTCTCGCCTTCCGATTTGCTCCAGTTCTCGAGTTATTATCCTCTATATCTTTAGTAAGGCCTACTTTCGCTGATAGCTCCTTAGGAGTCAATCGTTCTTCATCCACGCCCATCCCACACTTGTGAAGCATCTTGGGAGCCGCTACAAACCCACATCCTACCAGCCTAAGTAATTCATCCAACTCTCCTTTAAATGACTGGACACGAGCCCTTAATTCGACGGTATTCAATAAGGCAGCATATCTGGACCTTCTGCATATGCTGCCTTAGACTTAGGCATCATACTATTACCTTCACTTCACTCACAATAACTACCTTCTCCTATCACATTAGCACCCTTTGATCAACATTCTGCGAGGCCTGTATGTTTGTCGTAACTTTGGCATAGGTCATCCCTTGTCGATTTCGATCGTTCACTGTTTGACGGTTGGCCTTATTTTAGCAACAAATGAATCAACTACTGCTTGAAACACCCGCGAGATTGATGCCCATCTTTCTTCATTCGCACCTTTTGGTACCATCACAACTCCCTTTCGACGCCTCTTCCCATATTGTGCTATCGTTAAGTACCTCCCACGGCTGTTCACACAACATTGTGCTAAGAAAGCTCTTGATGACTCATTGAACTTCGAGACGAAATTCTTCAACCTACTAGTTTCCCTCAACTTGTCCACTATATTCACCATCCAAAGTGCACCGAACCTTTCCATACAGATTGCATTCAATATCTTCGAGCCCCACTCAGTCGTCCAAACAATATCGAGATTGTTAACAAAAATTGCAAACTCCTTCGCCTCCACTCGAAAACGATGATTGAATACCATGCTGTATGCATCCACTAACTGTCTCCCCTGATTGTGTATAAACAACACATTTGACGATCGAATAGGTGTCGTGAGTGGTCTGGAAGCATGATGGTGAATTTCTAGGTTTTTCGGCACTGACGTGTGTCATCCATGCGCCAACAGACGCGCCGCTTCGGTGGCGCATGCACCTCCCCGCACTGCCCCCTGATCGAAATCGCCCGCACAACCCGTCGATTAGGCGCGTATGCCTGGGTGGTGGCTTGAACTCATCGAATCTGGGTTTGGACTTCAGACTGGTCTATCTCCCTGCCCATAATTCTATTTCTTCCACCAGTTTCACCGTCGCCCATTGTCTCCGTTCCGTCCCACAATGTCTTATCTTCGGTCACATCACCGGTTAGAGCGGTGATGCTAGATTTTCCCCCTGGGGCCGCCGCTTGAGTGTGCAATTGTATTTGTGGCGTGAGGCTGGACTTCAGGGGTTTGCCGGACGACGCGATATTGCCGTCGCCGGCGTAGTCAAGGGTTGGTGGTGTTTAGGTGGTGGTTTGGTGGGTACTGGGTTGAGCCATCTAAAATCTTAATATCTTGTTTATCCATTCTCCCAATATCCAGATTGACGGTGACATGTACATTGATAGGATGTGAGGAGGTGAGAGATACAAGAGAATGGTAGGTTTGATTATCTACCTGCAGAGTGAGATGGGGCCTAATGACGGTGGCAATTGAGAGGAGAGAGGAAGATATAAACAACTATGATTTTAAAAGATGGGCATTGGATTTGCTACAAAGGGTATTTATGATCAAATTTTTAATTATAAGTGTTATATTATTTTGAGAGTGACCTTTTTATCAAAGAAAGTGTTATATTATTCTGAGTTATTTTTGGCAAATAATAACTTCTCAGTTTACTTTATTCAATTTGCATATGATCCGTATTTGTAGAAGGAAAATTAAGTTCTTTTACTAACTTTTTGAGACAAAAAAATCCTACCATTGAAAAAGATTTCCAAAGACGTATTAACTGACCAAAAAAACCACCTTCTTCAGTTTTTACCCATTTTTATTTAGTTAAATTAGTTATTTACATCACTTTCCAATCACTGACTATAATTTCACCTATTTATTCAGAAGTACTTAGAAATATATTGATCTACTCTTGGTTCAAAATTGAGGAAATCTATTAAGTATACAGATAGTTGAGAAGATAAATGGAAATCAGGATCCTATCTACAGCTCAAAAGGTTAAAATTCATTAGTTTGAAGTTTTTTTTATTTTTTTTAAAGACATCTAATGAATTAATCTTGCTGTTACAAGAATTTCTATTGGTTACTGATTTGATCATTTTAATGTTTGATATTGTTAGCAGTTTAAAAGGATAAAAAATATAATGATATAAACAATGCAAGTTCTCAAAAATTAATAAAAAATGCAACGACTAATAGTTTGTGAAATCGAACATTTGATCTTAAAGGAAAAAATGGAATGTAACATATTTCTATAATGGTATAGGACTTCATTGAAAATATTAATGAAAAGCAGGAGTTGTTTGTCCACGACAGTTTTCTGTGGTACTTGTTTAGGTTGTAAAATTGAGTTCACTGTTTATTTTTCCAATATCTTGAAAAAAAATTGTATAATTATCAGCTTTGTGAAGCAATAAACTTAGATTAACAGTCCAATTCCAAAAACATGCAGGTGAAGTCAAGATAAATTTTGATAAATGTATTGCTACCCCTTCCATGATGGAACATGTGAAAAAGGTGTTGCGAACTTAAAATTCCACATCGTGCTGTTAGCATTTACTTGTTCAATTGCATATCTTATTTTTCTATTTCACAGTTATCAAAGAATCTGAAGCAATTGATGCCAGATGCCAAGGTAAGTTGTGTCCTCTTGTGATCAATTTCATAATTCCTGGAGATGAGAAAGTGGCAATAATATCTCACAAGGATCTTATAAATATGCAGAAAGGTACCGTGACCAATGACATATCTAAGACAGTGAAAGATGCAAAAGCACAAAGTGTTATTTTTAAGAAAGACAAAACTGCAATTGTGCATGTAGGACTCGGGAAGGTATGTTTATTTGGTACTTATGCTGATTTCTGATTTAATTTTACCATCTTGTATGGCCGACTCTTTTATTTGATAACAATTATATATCTACAGGTTAGTTTTTCGGAGGAAGCTTTACGAGAAAATGTAGGCGCTTTTGTGAATGCTCTCTTGCTTGCAAAACCTGCCGGTCTGAAGAAGAGTAAGTAGAGTCTATTATATCTTCTAATCCATTTCATTGTTTCACATTTGGGTAAAAAGATGCTGGTTGGAGATATTGAGTATCTAGTAATACCAATTGTGCAGGAGACTGAAAATTCATATTCTGGAAGGATTTATTTTGTGTTAATAAATTCCCCGTGTCATCTCATCGCTATTTGGTGCAATCTTTCTAACACATTTTTTCCAGCTTAATGTGGTGCTGTTTTGACTCCATAAGAACTTTAGGTTTTGACATTGCTTCAAAAATTTTAGTGCTGCTATGATCTACATAAATAATACTTGCATGCTTTTGGTGGATTGATATTCACGACACCTAAAAGATTTCTCCAGTTCACCTGAAGGATATGGATTTGGTAGGCAAACTAGTAGGAGCTTGGATACAGGAACAGATATAGGAAAATCCTTGGAAATAGTGGATTGATACGCATTAAGAGAGTTAACACAACTTACATTGAGACGTGAAATGGGTAAGGAGAAAGCTAAAGAATTTGGGTGCACATGATATCATTTTTGGAAACAGGTAAGGAAAAGTGCGAAAATGGGGTAGAAATAGTTGGTGATATAGGTTTAAAATATGAAATCGTACAACTTGAACTGGTTGGAGTTTTATTGTTTATTGGTCGGTAAGCTCCACAAACAGGATTCAAGAAGGCAACAGAGCAACAATCTTTAAAAGACATTATGGATAGGTTGATTCAAGTACTCCCCAGTGAAGATACCATCTTTGTTGTAGGAGATATGACAGTAAGCAGAGAAAAACAGTGATGCTCGGATTTTTCATTTCGGCCGGAGTACCTGTGTGGACACGACACGACACGGGTACTAGTACGGAATATGGGTCCGATTCTTCCAGTTTCAATCGGACCCGGCAAGAAATCTTAAGAAAAATTGAAGATTTACGTTATTGGTTGGAGATGGAAGATGTGTGTAATGAAATAGCAGGTTAGCGTTGGCGATCCTTGGTCCAAAATAAATCTATTGGCTGTCTTCAGTTGGAACCCTAAAATCATGAAGGAGAAGAAGGAAGACGACGATACAGGAATGAAAGAAGAGATTTGGGTTTAATTGGAGTTGGGCCATTTTTATTTGGGCTAATAATATGGAGTTGGGTTGGTTAATAATATGGACGTGGATGGATTTAATTGGAGTTTGGGCGATTTTTATTGTGCTAATAATATGGATATTGGATATGGATGGATTTAATTGGAGTTTGGGCAATGGATATGAGTGGGTTAATAATGTAATTATGTTGTTTTTGTTTAATAAAATATTCAAGCAATAAAATTTATCATTTTTTTTCAATTCATCATTTTTAATTCAAAAAATACGGCAAAATCAAAGTAAAAATTAAATCTAAAAAACAAAATTGATGTTTGAAAGACGTATACGTACCCGTACCCGAGTCCGAGCATCTAAGGAGAAAAATTCCGAAGGAGCATCTCATGGACAAATTAATACTTGTGTGAAATAGTTCAGAATATATCCTAACTTCTTCTGGTGTGCATGATGCGTAAAAACCATTCAGAAAGAGCATGGGTCATTTAAAAAGTTTTTCATGTGGAGATTGATAGTTTGGACTAAATGGCTTCAATGAGAGTAAAAGCAGGATCATGTGGAATTGATGGTTTGAACTATTTTCAGGTGACATTGATACGAAGAAACAATATGATATATGAAGAGCAAGAACATGCTGAGTTTATATGGGAATGGATCTAAGTTTTTATCATACTCAGGGATTACTATTGATAATGAGCTTAAGGTCATTCCTTCGCCGATAATTATCTTTGGTTGGAAAAATATATTGAGTTGACTTTATTCTATTTGATGATTAGAATATTTTATAATCCTCTTAGTGGTAGTAGTTATGTTTAGACAGTTAATAAAATTCTGTTTCTTCTAATAGAAATATAGATGAAGTTTGGCTTTTAAGGATTAAATGAAGAAATTAACACTATTTCGGACTTTGAAATGGCTGGCTTATGACTTAATGTTAGGGAATATACATTTCAATAAACAAGTCACAAAAGTTCGGTAAAACAGATTTTATCAATTGTGCAGTTGGTGCAAGGATTGTAAGATAATCCTTGAAGAGTAACTTTACAACATAGGTAAATAGAAGTCGATGTGGTTAATAAAAGATGGAAATGAGATACCACAGAGTTCGAGTCCTCGGAACACAATGTTAGAACTTCTGGTGTGAATTACAAGTGAGTTAGAGCATTTCTAAAAAGACTCTCTATTTATATAGAGCATCTTATGTATTATAGAGAGCATCTTTTAATTTAGAGAATAAATTTTTTTATACATTACAACAATACTCTATCTTTTGGCTCTTTCGAGGAACATTTATTGATTTCTTCTCAAGTCATCCCTTGTTTAACATATTATTTTTATTGCTCAATGACCAATCAATTCAAATGTGATTTAAATAATTTAAATAGTAGGGTACTGAAATTTATTGATTTCTTCTCAAGTCATCCCTTGTTTAACATATTATTTTTATTGCTCAATGACCAATCAATTCAAAATGTGATTTAAATAATTTAAATAGTAGGGTACTGAAATTTATTGATTTCTTCTCAAGTCATCCCTTGTTTAACATATTATTTTTATTGCTCAATGACCAATCAATTCAAAATGTGATTTAAATAATTTAAATAGTAGGGTACTGAAATTAGTAGCTTATTAAATGCAATCATTAAATTAAAAAGAGAGAGAGAGAGAGTGTGTGTGTGTGTGTGTTTGATTCTCAAAATTTGGAGAGCCAAATTGATTTTCTATTTTAAAAAGTTAGAATAGAAAGTCTCTTTGAGCTTATTTTTAAGCATTGATTCTCTAAAATATTAAGCATATTGCATTTAGAGAGTCTCTTGGAGATACTCTTATAAGGCTAGAGTTTGAAGTGATGAAAATAGGTTATAGGCAAAGATGTTGAGTTGAATTAGACCTTGGACTTGTCAAACTGTGTTGAAAGAAAAATATGATATATGATCACCTCATTATTTACATTAAGAGAATGAAAAATCCAAAAACAGATTTTATCAATTGTGCAGTTGGTGCAAGGATTGTAAGATAATCCTTGAAGAGTAACTTTACAACATAGGTAAATAGAAGTCGATGTGGTTAATAAAAGATGGAAATGAGATACCACAGAGTTCGAGTCCTCGGAACACAATGTTAGAACTTCTGGTGTGAATTACAAGTGAGTTAGAGCATTTCTAAAAAGACTCTCTATTTATATAGAGCATCTTATGTATTATAGAGAGCATCTTTTAATTTAGAGAATAAATTTTTTTATACATTACAACAATACTCTATCTTTTGGCTCTTTCGAGGAACATTTATTGATTTCTTCTCAAGTCATCCCTTGTTTAACATATTATTTTTATTGCTCAATGACCAATCAATTCAAATGTGATTTAAATAATTTAAATAGTAGGGTACTGAAATTAGTAGCTTATTAAATGCAATCATTAAATTAAAAAGAGAGAGAGAGAGTGTGTGTGTGTGTGTTTGATTCTCAAAATTTGGAGAGCCAAATTGATTTTCTATTTTAAAAAGTTAGAATAGAAAGTCTCTTTGAGCTTATTTTTAAGCATTGATTCTCTAAAATATTAAGCATATTGCATTTAGAGAGTCTCTTGGAGATACTCTTATAAGGCTAGAGTTTGAAGTGATGAAAATAGGTTATAGGCAAAGATGTTGAGTTGAATTAGACCTTGGACTTGTCAAACTGTGTTGAAAGAAAAATATGATACATGATCACCTCATTATTTACATTAAGAGAATGAAAAATCAAATGTATGATATACTGTCGCCAAGTGATGTCTTGGTTTTTTCTGGTTCTTAGACAATTTTTCACATGCCTTATTTGCAGGTTCCAAATATGCTGGGTATGTCGACTCTTTCCATATTTGCAGTACGGTGAGCTCATAAATCTTGTATTTATTTGTTATAATAGTTCACTTAAACGTTGCAATGTTTTTTTAAGCCTTTTTTCTTTAGTATTTCATGACATGGAGGCCACACACTAAAAACTGATAGTAAGTATATTCATTACCTCCTTTTACAAGGTTTCTTAAATTTTTATTCTTTCAATGGAAACCATCAAAGGCGTTTCTTGAAATGTTTTTGAAAATGGGTTGAAAAAAATTTCGTTTTATGTTTTCCTCGTGTACATTTTAAAAAATGTTTCACCGGATCGATTCCACCGTTCTTTTGTTTACCAAGTATTTTCTTTAGGGGGTGTTTGAGCCACATTATTTTGATAATAATGCATTCTTGAATAGTGTATTGATGGGAAATGTGTGGTTAAAAAATAAGGAAAAGTTTTTGATTTGTGTGTAATATTATTTTATTGAAAAATATGTGGTTGAAATGATGTCGAATCACTGTTTAAGAATGTATTTTTTGTAATAATATGGCTCAAACAGGTCCTTAGTTTAAAATAGACACTAAAATGTAGAGAATGCTGGGATCACCATGCCGATAGTTGGAAGTTGGATTTTAGGGGTACCCTATTTAGTTCACTTTTTTGTTGCCCTCATTAAGTATTAGTCGTTCTTCACATGTCGGGCTCTTCATCGCCTTGTCGTCTACAAAATTGCAGCTCATTTTTATGGGTTCGACGTTTTGCTTAACGTTACCATCCCTTTCTAACGCCATAATTTGTGTCTGCGTGCAGATGGGTCGATCCTTCCATATTTCAATACAATCATTATCGATGGCTGCCGACCGCTACAACAGATTACAGCTGCAATAGTGTTCTAATTTTGGATTCAATTGTTAACTGAATCTTTTGTTGTACTTAGTTCGACTTCAGTCCTACAATAATGCAAGGATTACCATAGTTTACTTTGCCAGTTAATTGAACAAAATAATTACCACTTCGTAGACTTTGATTTTTCACATTCTTGTGCATTTCTGAAATGAACCCAAGTCAAATCTTACATTAAGCATAAAAATTGCTTCAATTTCATGGTCATTTTTTGTCTATATAAAAAAATTATAATTTCACATACAATTAATTAATGAATATTGAATAGTCAAAGAATATTAAATTTTTATTTGAAGAGTTTCAACTTTCAAAGTAAAATTTGTTGGACCATTCTACACGTACAGGGAAAAAATATACAGATGTATTACAGAATACGTACAACAATGGGGTCCACCGAAATAAAATATTCACATGGAACTCACCCCATGTGAATGCTTTGTGGAATTTCTGTGAGATTATTCCCTGTACATAGGGAATAATTCAAATTTGTTTGAAAAGTTTGCGGCAAAATAAAATCAATGATCTATATAATATTATTAAAATAAAATATCATGTTAAGGGAGAATTATTTTTTAGACGATTTTAACCTCCTTATAATTGAATTATTTCAATAATACATTACTTTTGATTTTTTGATATGTAATAAATGTTACAAAATTATTGTTATTTATGAAATTTGTGTTATTAATTCTTAATTAATTAACATTCACATTAATCTACATTTATTGAATTTTCACTTGATGAATTTTGAATTATATGAATTTAGAGTTATTATAGATAAATTTATTCATATTCATGCATTTAAATATTTTAATAGGTGATAAATTTATGCATTAACAATTAATTTTTATGTATCAAATGTAATATAAAAAGATTGCTTATTTATAATATTTAATCATTACAAAAAATTTGAATCATAAAAATAGAGTTTTAAGTGTAAAATTTGAGTATAATTTTATTCTCTTAAATTGTAATGCTAATTTTTTTTTTCCTTTTAACTTCGTTCAAGACTCATCAAATTTTTTAGCAAATTGATATCAAATATTACTTTCATATCATTTATAAAATATTTTAAAATAAGTACAATGCATATTCAATTTTGATTAGTTTTTATAAATAATCACAAAAAGATATATTTTCAAGATTTCAATTCTTCTTTGGAGTTTCAAGGCAGTGGAGAGTGTTCTTGACGTTTGAAGTGATACTGAGTGCAGAACTTATTTTTGCCTTGAAATAAGGAGAGTGAACAGTTCCCTCTATACAGTGTCACTTCAAAAGTCGAACGCTATTTCTCTCTGTCAACTTCCCCATTTCACTACCCTAAAAACCCACCAAAATTGCTTCAATTTCATGGTCATTTTGTGAGAAGGGATGATTTCAACAAAAAGAGCAAATGGCAATGGTGACTATCCTAGTTTTTGCATCTGGCGCCATTGCTTCTTTTTAGTGCATTTAGCTACTATTGTTATCTTAATACAAAGTCTCCAAGCGGTTCAAAATTCCCCCAAAAAGTTAGTATCTTTAGCTTTTTTTATTCAAATATTTGATTTTTTGAATGTGAACTGTTTAATTTATTAGTTATCGATATAGATCTTGGGAATCTGAGAATATTAATGGGCTTTATAGTGATTAATTTGATGTAGATGTTGAATAAGTGGGTGTTTTTAGTTTTTATAATCTGGTAAGATGTTGAAAATGCATTTGGATGGGTATAAGAGAATGAAAAGGTGGGAACTTTTCATTGTGATCCTTGTCTTCATTACCATTTTGTTTGGCGGCTAAAGAAAAAATTGTGGGGTCTGGAAAAGGGAAAAAAATGAACAATAAGTACAAAACCAGACCACGAAATGGAATGTACTGTCAGTTTGATTTTCCCTCATTACGGGCTTGTAAATTAGGCTTATTATGGAATAAATCCACTGAATATTAGCGTTTGATGTAGTTCTTTCGGGAAGATTGAGGATCTGTTCTAATATGTTGAAAATGCATTTTGATGGGTTCAAGAGAAGGAAAAGGTAGGAAATTTTCAATGTAGTCCTTACCTTCAGTAACATTTTTGTTTGGCGGCTAAAGAAAAAATCGTAAGGGGTTGAGAAGGCAAAAAATGAATAAGAAATCCAAAATTGTAACAGGAAATAAAATGTATTATTAATTTGATTTGGGAGCTGCTATTAATATCTAGCATTGTTATATGTATATTCAATTATATTATACTTTTAACCTTATATAAATTTACTTAAATAGACGTACATGAAATTAAATAAAAATATATCACACTAAATTCATTCACTAATATTTATTTACATTTAAATTTTTTTGAACCTTTTTATATTCTTTTAGAATTAACTAAAACACTAATATTCATAAACTTGTATGAAGCATGACCACTCCAAAGAGTCTTCTGTATGGCGTTCTGCATTTCAGGATCTGGAGCATATTAAAATACCACAATCACAGATGTACATAAGCTAATCTCAAAATTGATAATCATGAAAGGTGTAAAAGACAAATCCTGACTGGAGTTGGATAATATGTGGACAACAGGATAAGATTTCTAATAGAAAAACACGTTAACCATCAGGAAATGAAGATATCTTCAAGCAGAGAAATTCAGTTATATACATCAGATAGATCCACTTGACTCGTGTATCAGATAAACAAACTGGTGGAGAGATATATTTTTGTGAGTGTGCGTGCGTGTGTGCAGAATTATCAATTATCACAAATGATTTTTCTATTCTCATTGGCAAGGACGTTCACAAGTTCACCTTGAAGAGAAGAGGGGGGGGGGGGGGGAGAA